AGTGACATTTTTGTAAATATACACCCCTAAATGGTATTTTTGTAATTGTCCCTAAGTTTTTTTTTAATTATTCTATTTATTATATAAAGTACAGATATCGTAGCTGTTGTAGAAATTTTATTAACTTTGAGTATTAAAACATGTGCTTTTGTGACAAACAAACAAAAAAACATGTGCTTTTGAACTTATGGATCGAAGATCTGTAAAAATATTGTTAAAAAGACGTGTTTTTTATTAGTAAAGTCATATGGTTTTTGGTATTTCTCTCGTCGGATAATAGATAATTACAAAAACTGGTATGATTACTTATCTACTTGCACAAGTTAGTAGGAGTTGAGTGGTTTCTTTCAAACTGACTTCTCAAACATGGCTGATCGTTAAATAATTTTTGTTATACAATAATACTTTCTCCATGTAAATTGTTTTGGTTAAACGTATGAATAAGAAACTATTTTTTTAAAAAAAATATCATTTTATATATATAATAAAAATAATTTAGCCAATAAAAAAAACTACTACAAAATATTATTGGTTACACAATAATTAATAAAGTTAAAAAATATTTAAAATTATCAAAATAATTTATATTTTGAAATATAAAAAATTTTCAAAACAATGTATTTTTTGAAACGGAGAGAATAATAATGATTAACATAATTGAATTTTAGCTCACACGAATGTACATATATCTTAGTTTATATTATACTTTCTTTCTGTTTTAAAATATAAATTGTTTTGAAAAAAAAATTTATGTGTCAAGAGAAGTCGGTTTTTGACCACATTAATTGAATTAAGCAAGACCTTACCAGATGCCAACATTGAGTTTGGTCCAAGCCTTTAAAATGGTCAACTTAAGATGGCGGTCAGATTTTGAGGCGATTCCAATCGCCTCCGAAAAAGAAATCTGATGGTGTTTGGGCCCTCAATCCAATGATATGGATTAAAATGCTTTTATACCAATCAGCTTTTTGCTTCAGCAAATCCCATATTCGGGTTCTTGACACATTTCCATATATTATAGGAGGAATGGTCAAGACATACACAACAAGGTGACGCACCAACTCCACGTGGTGGACACGCTGGTGTCAGTTGGGGAGAACTGGTTTATTGTTTGTGGTGGAGATAACAAGATATTATTTTATGGGTTGCTACCCTCGATGACAACTTGCTAATGAGTTTTAAAATCTAAGCCAAATTATAAGAGAATTTCTATATAAAAAATGTTTTTTTTTTCTTTTTCGGCAATCTGATTTTCATTTCATGAAAGCCCAACAGAAGGATCAGCTCAAGAGGTCCAAAAAGATTATTATATCGAATTAACCGAGAATTATATCATAATTTATACAAGATAAAACTAAAAACACAATTATGATTCAGTATTGGACACGTGGTCCTCTCACCACCACGAATCCAATCGATAATTTTCATCAGAAAATTCACTAGACATGCCTACTCCGATCAACCGCCGTCAATCATCCACATACCGATGTGAACCCTCCTTCCTTCTGCCGATCTTAAAACCACACTACAGATCCGCCGAAAACCACCAAATTTATCTCTAAAACACTTCAAAATTTTCCAGCCCGAGGAAGCTCCACCACCGACCACACCCAAGAAGTTGATGCAGTCTTAGATCCATCTTGCTCCTGCGTCCAGAACAAATGGAGAGAGAGTGATGGAGATATTACTCCATGAACAAATAGAGAGACCAGAGAGAATCTTGAAGAACAACAGAGGAATCGACGTGATGAACCACGATGGAAAAGAGATCGAAGAAAACAAAACAGAATCGTACCTAGCCGAAAAAACACCGGATAAACCGGAGAACCGATCCATTAAACGGAAAGAAAATATCTAAACAACAAAACACAAAGAAAGGAAAATATAAACAACCGGACCAAATAGTGTGGCTTTGAAAGCCCACACCGCCAGCCGGAAAGTCACGAACAGATTGTCGAAGTTTTCTAGATAAGAAGAGTTTTCTAGAAAACTTTTCTAGAGAGAGAAAGTTATTATTCTAAAAAAAGAAACATGTAAATTTTGGAATATCACTTCTCAAAAAAATGTGATTAATATTATACTATTTATTTAAAATATATGTTATGTTAGAGTAATGAGGATTTATGGTTTTGTAGGGTAAAAATCT